GTAACCCCACCACATCTGAAACCTGGTCCTCAAAACTATCTGCAGAATAAGAAGCCAAACTCAGAGTCATGGCTATCCCACTTCCATTAGAAGGGGAGTTGTATATAGAAATAACTTCAGAATCTGCACAGATGACCTCTGGGAGCTAATTCTATAATTCTTTCAACATTTAAAATATCTAATTAAAATACTATGTTTTGTCGGAAGTATCTGCTCAGACTTTTTGACTGATGTAAATATGTATGCACCTTGCTGATAGACTTCATCTAGGGGGTTACAAACAAAAAGGAGACTCTGAGGATCTGAAGGAATTAGAATAATTAAGAATTTCAGTCTTTAGAAGGGATGGCTTGTGGACATGCGCTCTTTTGCACACTCATCTCTCTTAGAAAAACGTGTCCCACCCCCACTCTCGCCCCCAGTTGGTTACAAAGGGATTGCCTCTTATCCACGAAGGCAATTCTGATTCTAAAAATTCTGGGCACATTAGACCTCAATGTCAGTTGATGCCTATTGTGGTCTGAAGAGTCCTTAACCCTGGCTTGAAAGACTTCCTGGGAGAGGCGCGGTTTTGAGGCAGTGACAAGATAGAGAAGAGAGAGACAGTTTGGCAGATGGAAGGGGGACTGTTTCAGACATAGTGGGTGGAGGACGGTGCGGAGGTGGCAGCGGGAGTAAGGAGAATGGTGCCAAGAGATTTAGTTGTCGGGACACAAGGGGCAGCTGTGGTGGTTGGGAGTGGGAGGATGGTAGGACGGCCCATAGAAACCTTGGAACCAGTCGAACTCTGAAGAACTGATTGGGGCATCTGTAGATTAGGTGAGGGAAAACGGCATGGTTGGAAACTGATAGAAAAATAAGGCTATACTTTCAAATAACTGGGTTTTAGAAACTAAGAATATCATTCATTATTGCTGTTTTGGTAAATCCAACTTAGCAAAGTTTGAGACCTAGAATCCCTAAGGGGGTTCTCAGAGATCTAGCCATATTTTGGGTGATGAGCACTCGGAAAGGGTGACGAGTCACTCTCTTTCTGCCTTTATGATGGAAAAGCACTTGCTGATACATTGATGTGTCTGGCTTGAGTACTCAATTTTCTCCCGTGTTCTTATCACGGAAGGAAGGCCCTTCTTTTTACTCACAGTCTAGAGCTAGCAAGACCATTTCAGAGAAGATGCCTGCTGCATTAATAGAGGTCTTAGTCCGGACCACCTCAGAAGCGGAACACTGTACTCTGAAACTCGGCAACATGAATAAAGACTTTAAAAACTATGCATCTATTTACTTTTAGGGAGAGGGAAAGGGAGGGAGAAAGAGAGGCATGTGCCCTGACTGGCAGTCAAACCAGCAACATGAGCCACACCAGCCAGAGCTGAAGTAAAGACTTTTTACTGTTAGGAGTTTTCATTGCAATTTAACATTGAAGGTTTTACTGACATTTTAAGCATATCCTTCTCTTCCAGTGCCGAGAAATGGGGAACACATGTTTTTGCCTGTAGTGAGCCCCTCCTGTGTTTAAAGACTTAGACTGTCTCTCTTGGGACCACTTTTTTGTGGTTTATCCTTTCTTGGATTCTAGATTTCATTCCTTTACTGTTTACAACCTCCACCCCTTTAAAATCTCAACTGGGTAGTTAATTAACTGTGCTTGCTGAAAGATAGGAACAAGCTGCCCATTTTTAGTGATGACATCACCAAGTTGTGTTTAGCTGCAAGGAGACGAATGGCATTGAAAACAAAATTCCAGTTAGTAAGTCATTCTAGCTTTAGGAAATACGTAGCTACATAATAAAAGAACTAAAATGTCCAGTGTGAAGAATCAGAGGCCCAAATTACAAAGAGAAGCTTGGAAAAAACTTGTTCACATCTACTGCAAAACACTTCTCCCCTGGCCTCCAGGCAGGAGGGTAGCGTTATGTTCTAAACAGCATTCTAGAACATGGTTCATCCATTTTTAAGGATTTTTGTGGATTACTGTCAGCACAGAAAGCTTTCCCACAACTTATACATACCTGGCTTTTTATTCACTACATTTCTAAAGTTTGATTCAAGAGGTACTGATCTGGAAGCCTAGCTTTCCTTTCCAATGGGCTTAGACTAGAGCGTTTAACTTCTTGACCGGCCAGAAGGGGCCATCTCTCAGACAGTGGGACTCTGCCATATCTGTGGCCTTGTGTAGACGAGGTAGCCCAGCTAGGACAAAGGATTTCTCTTCAATAAGACACACCAACCACCCTGGCTGGTGTAGCTCAGTGGATTGAGCACAGGCCTGCAAACCAGAAAATCACAGTTTGATTTCCGGTCAGGGCACGTGCCTGGGTTGCAGGCTGGTTCCCTGCAGGCCAGTTCCCAGCAGGGGATGCACAAAAGGCAACCATACATTGATGTTTCTCTCCTTCCCCTCTAAAGATAAATAAAATCTTTTTTTTAAAAAAATTTTTATTTATTTATTTATTTTTAGAGAGAGGGGAAGGGAAGGAGAAAGAGTGGGAGAGAAACATCAATGTGTGGTTGCCTCTCATGTGTCCCCTGCTGGGAACTAGCCTGCAACCCAGGCATGTGTCCTGACTGGGAATCAAACCACAGTCCTCTGGTTTCCAGGCCCGCGCTCAATCCTTTGAGCTACACCAGCCAGGGCTAAATAAATAAAATCTTAAAAAAAAAGACACACCAACCAACCTTCCTGAGTGAAATGTAAGTAAAATTGAGCAGAATCTCAGTGCAAGCAAAGCCAGAGCACCCTGGATAGGACAGTAATGGTCATGCTGACATAGGCATTTAATTTGGGCGTGAGAACACTAATGGAGGGCATTTAACTAGGGAATATGTTGGAACCTAAGCCTCTCCATGAAATATGCATCAGAGTTGTTAAGTGTGCTAGTGTGCTGCCTTCGACAGGTGGGGTGGAGCAACAGGTGAACGATTTCGGAGAGGTCTGGAAAGCATGTCTCTAAATCTAATGGGATGGAGTTTTTCTGTTGAGTGTCAGCCAGTGCCTTGGCTTTAGTGAGTTGAGATGGGCTGGGATGAAAGTATTAACTGCCCTTTGATTTGACTGGGCTCATAGTGGAGAAACCTGGATATTTAAGGAAAGGATGAATGTCTTGCATCTGACATTAAAATGCCTTTGTCACTATGAGTAGTTTGCTTGCTATGCATCGTATACTGGGCCCCTTCCCTGTTAAGAGTAGGAATAAGGAAGTTGAGATAAGAATGCAGAAAGTAACCCTTAAATGTTTAAAACCCCAAACTGAAGCATACAAAAAATTTGAACGTCACCATACATCATTATTTTGAGAGTCCTGTAGTCAACCTTTGTAGTCCGGACTTGTTTTATGTCTTTGAGGACTGGATAATGAAGTCTAATGCAGTTATTTTCTACTTTGGAGCACAGGGGATAGCACCCAACTAATTCGGTTGAATTAATCTTTCCTTCTTCACTAAGCAACATTTTTTTTTTTCAGCTTGCTCTGGTCTCCCTTGGGATCTTATGTGACAGAAAGCTTCCAGGTGGCTTGCTAATTAATATACCTTGATCCAGAGTTTATGTTGAACAGAAGCAGGATCTTAGGAAGTCAGAAAAGAAGACCTCGTAGTTTTAAGAAACCAATATTTTTTTCTTAATTGAAGCACAAATGCTGAACTGTCATCCTACCAACCTTACCCAATAGTGAACTGACAGCTAAGTGCCAACTCATGACACTTCTAGTGCATCTCTCCCCTCCTCCTTGGAGAGCTGCCTGCAAGGTGCACTCCCGGTTTCCGAAATTGTTTGCAGTGACCTAACCTGTTCATTTCTCCCATTAAACAATAGGAACTGACTTGGATTTTCTCCTTATCCCTCATTTAGAGGATTCCTTTAAAATATAAAAAATATATTCTTTAAATAAATGTTTAAGAACTTGCTGGAGACTTGACCCATGTGGCTCAGTGGGTTGGGCATCGCACTATAAAAGAAAAGGTCACCGGTTTGATTCCTGGTCAGGGCACATGCCTGAGTTGGGGGCCTGGTCCCCAGTTGAGGTGTGTGCAAGAGGCAGCTGATCAATGTTTCTCTCTCCCCCTCCCTTCCCCGCTCTCTAAAATTAAATAAATTTTAAAAATTAATGAAACCTGTACTCTGGAGCTTGATTTTAATGTTCCAAATCAACATCCTCTACAAAAAAATTGATTATGAATTTGGACTAACTCTGATATTTTTATTTCAGTTTCCAATGGTAGGATGTCTTAAGATGAAAAGGGCAGTTTTCAGAGTAATTTAGTAGGTTTTCAAAAAAAAGGTTATTTAAGAGGTGTGAAAAGTTCAGAAATGCCATGAAGACACTTAGCTCCCCAACCAGGAGCCTTAGAGATGGGGGGGCAGGAGGTGCCAATTTGAACTTTGAACTTTGAACTTTGGTAGAGGAGGAGGAGGCAGCAGCATTGGAACCCTGATACCATGGGGATTTGCTGTCTGCTTTGGAGCGGTGGAACAGCTTTTCCCTACGGTATCCCATTAGAAACCTCTTACTAACTAAGGTCAAGCTCAGCAGAAAAAGCCATTCTATTGGGGGCAGGAGCCAGAGCCCTATTTTTTGCCTACAGGAGAGCACTTTGATATATTTTTACCAGAGGGCATTTAAGCACTAGCTACAGGTAGGTGACAGCTTAGGTCAACCTTACCTGGCAGCCCGCCCTCCTGCAGACACACGACCATCTTTGCCTTGTTTTGAGCATGCATGGTTTCAGATTCAGGACAGCTATCAAATCTAAGCATAGTTTTAACTTCGTGATGCAAAGCAAAAACGCATTTGAGAGCAAAATCTCCCAGGAGTGCCTTCCACCCCCAGCAACTACACAAAAGAAGGTGTCTGCCGGGGAGGAGAGTGGCTATAGACGTCATCGCGTCTTCCATCCAGATCCCAGCCGTGACCTGGCTCAGGGTTTTATAGTTAAAAATAACCATGGCTTAGAGTTGGGGGGGAAAGTAAACTGTTGCGTCTCCATGGAAACTAGGAGAAAGAAAAAGGCAAGCCATGGTTTTGCAGCAGATGTGGCAAGGTGGGGTGGATATAGAGTCTAGGAGCTTAGAGGCCCTCTGGTGAAAGGAGATACCCCTGGTTAGCATCCAGGATGTAGCTAGACATTGTTCCAGGGCTCTGGAGACACTACGGCCAAGGTATGTTTGCAGCAACAATGTGTACATCTTAGGTTGGGGTGGATGAGAAGCACCATTTGAGGCTTCCCACTTGCTCTAATACAGATTCACTACTTTTAGCAAATGGGAGCATATGAGCATTACAGTAGGTTAGAAGTTACCTTCTAAACAGTCTGGGAACCTCTGTAGCCTATCCCCATTCACATTCCACTCTTTCAGTGGCATAGTCAGAGACTTGGGTTGAGGAGCAGAGATTTATAAACTAGAGGGGAGTCCTGGCTGGCATGGCTCAGTGGATTGAGTGTCCGCCTGTGAACCCAAACATTGCTGTTTTGATTCCTGATCAGGGCACATGCCTGGGTTGCAGGCTGGGTCCCCAGTTGAGAGGGTGTGCAAGAGGCAATCTCAGAATGTATCTCTCACATACTGATGTCTCTCTGAAAATAAACAAACAAAATCTTTGAAAAGAAAATAGAGGGCAAGTGTTCAGGCTCTTGGACTGACAGGGACATTTACTATCAGAGGTGGCTAAGTCTTGGGGGGAAATATTTCATTTCTTCATCTCCCCTTTCTTTAAACATTTCTTAAAGACAATTTTTACAGAATATGCTAATACATTCTAGTTGTAATTTTTTGAAAACTCCTCTTCTCCTTTTTACATTAAGAGTTTACATGCTTGCTCGTTTACCTGTCCAATGTATCAGGAAGCCCCAACTGCTAGTGCCAGTTGTGCTCCTTAATAATAATACAACCCTGGGCACGTTTCTCAGCCCTTCATGTCTAAAGTGTGCTTGGTAATACCTACCCACTGAGCTGGATGACGATTAAATGGGACGAGGTATATTAACCACCTGGTACCTCTCTTTCCCCCACTTCCTTTCCCTACCCATAGAGCCTTTGATATTTTTGTTTAACTCCAGCCAGGTATAAGCAAGCACTTGGTTTTCCTATTCCACACAAGTCACAGCAGGGTAAAGTCTCACCGAGGGACACTAAGATCTGAAAGACACAGAGCAAATGTTAAAACAGGCAGATGAGCATTTTCCAGGGATGTTGTTTTTATTGGAATTCTCATCTCTGTGCATCATTGCCACAGCCCCAGGGTTGAATTAAGGGCAGAAAATCTCAGAGACAGATACATGTTAAATGACCTAGTTATGCTAGACATGTTGTAATATCCCTTATATAATGCCTAGCTCCAGAAGCCTGCAATCAGATTACAAAACCGCACACACACTATGATTGTCACTGTGTAAAGAAAACTAAAAAATTACGTATAGTAAAGAAGACCACAAAGAAAAGATGCTAATTGTTGTTTGTTAAGTAGTAAAATGATGGGTGATTCGTCTGTGCCCTCTTTCTCTTTGGCAATGTGACGTTTGTTTATTAATGGAAAAATACATTTTATGAAAACTATAAATACTCTAAAAATAGAAGTTTAAAGTATTTTATATCAATAAAATTTAGTTAATCCTTATGATAGCCGTACGAGGTATTGTATAACATCTTATAAAACACCACAAGCATTAGACAATTTGTGTAGTCAGTGAAATGTGTTTTGGGATTCCTGTGTCCTAGGTCTTTTATCTTTTGCACATTCATAGAGTTTCCTCCCAGATACCTGGTATCCTCTGTCCATCCCAAATGTGCCAAAGACAAGAGCTTGAAGATTTACTTCTCAGGAGGGGTGCAGCATTGCGTTTTAACTGCAGATGGGCGGCATATAGTATGGAATCACAGGCACCAGGAAGCAGGGATTTGAGCATTTGTGACTAACAGGACCTGATGGTAAACTTCTGTAGACCACAGAGCCCTGACCCCCGCTGTCCCCCAGTTCTGACAGATATATCAAAGCTGTCCACTTGTTCACCGGAAGCAATGATATCAATGGGAAGATTCGACTACTCTTTCTGAGGGACCCACATAGGTCTGATTAATCTAAGGCGTGCAAGCAATTAAGGAGGATATTTTTGAAAAGGCAGACATCAGAAGCCAAGCAGAGTAGACGTTTTCCTCCTCTAATTAATGTGTCTAATCAGATCAGCTCTCATTTTGGACAGAAGCTGCACTACTCTCAAACCCTGTTTATTTAGATGTAGTCAGGAGTACCCACGTCTCCCTAAGCATAGACAAGTCATGTTTGTAGCAGATGACATCTAAGATGTTTTAATATTTAAAATAGTTGGCACCTATAAAGATACCTAGTTCTGGTCTAGTAATCTGCTTGTCCAGAAAGGTGGCTACTAGCCAGCCTCATGTGGCTATTGAAATTCAAATTGATTAAAATTAAAATTAAAAATATAGTTCCTCAGTCACATTAGCCCACATTTCAAGTGCTCAAAAGCCACAGGAGGCTGGGGGCTACTACTGTATTAGTGCAGATACAGAACATTTTCATCAGTTCTGGTCTAGAAGATAATACTTTCAAGTTCTTTTTTTTGGGGGGGGTAGAGGCATATAGAAGCCTACACTTGCACTGTAAAGGCATGAAGCACCTCCCTACCTACAGGCTGATATGTGCAGTCACTAAGTGATCTGGCTGAATATAGCACTTCTTTCTGCTTTCCTTAATCTCTAGATCTTTATAGATGCATCAGAGTCAACTCAGAGTCTATGTTAGCTCTCCTCCCTCCTCGTCACTGGTGAGGATATGATTCTTCATGGTAGTTTAGTTCCCATAATCCGTGAAAACGCCCTGCTCCTTGTCACTAACTAGAGCTATTCTGGAAACCTGCCTTGTGGGTAACAAACAAGCTTGAATCTGAAGAGGGATGTATCTATTTGTGCTGCTGAGTCACTGAATTGACTGAAGGAAAGACTGTGGGGTGAGAAAGAAATGAAAGCGACATACAATCGCTTCTATTAGACATTTTGCTATTTTGGTATTGGCATGTCAAAAATAAGTTACTAGATGAATTGATGGGGGAGCAATCTAGTACTGGGAAGATGCCTTTCCCAGGCAATATTCTCCTGCAGAAAGATTAATTTTGCCTAATTTTAAAGCTTTGATTCTCTATTTATTCTTTAATCATATATGACATATATGATTCTCTCATATTTGTTTATGAAAATAAACAAATCTCTCCATCCTAGGCCTTTTTAGCTACCCTAAGATCACACAAATGTCTTTGATGTTATGTTTTTGTCTGGGAAGCAAACAGAACTTGTAGATATTCCATGGGGTGACTCAGAGTCCGGCTGGGAAGTAGGAACAGTATGAAAAAGCCTCAAAGCTTTTTAGTTGAAGACGCTGATGCCAGGAGATGTAAACCCAAAATGCAGCCTTTACTCCCCTCATCAACTGCTCCCTCTAAACAAATGACTGCTCGTTTGATTGCTCAGCAGTTCTGATGCCAATGATTTACAACGGTGAGGAGATAGATCTGGTGGTGAGTGAAGGGCTGGGCGTGGAGTCGGGACTCTCAGGTGTCTGACTCACTGCAGGGCCCGGAGGAAGTCATTTATACCTCCCCTCCCCTCCCCTCCCTCGCCTGCCAGGGCAGGATTGTGCTGAAAAGTCCGTTTTGCATCTACTCATTTTCAGGTGGGCCAACCTAAATTAAAAAAACGACCCGCAGAGTGACAGCAAGCAAATCCTCAACGAATCCGTATGTTCATCCTAGGCTCGGAAGACCCTACATCCCTACCTCTGAGGCACAGGCTAGGGATGGGGGTTTGGAGACTCGGGTGGCACCTATGTTGGTGGTGGTAGTGGTGGTGGTGGATTGGCGGTCACGGGCAGGCAAAGGATGGCCGTATCTATAGCTACTTTTGTGTCTCGGACAATATAGCCTCCCACAGTTACTGGAAACCGCCCACACCTGCCCAAGCAAAAGTCATCCAACAGTTACCACGAGATTTATTTTCCCTTCACTCTTAGATCCCAAATCCCAGGCTCTCCTGGCAGGATAGAAGGTGGGGGTGGGGTGAGAATCGGTGATTAGTCACTAACTGCAATCTTCGCCCCTTTTATAATAGTCGTTTTCTTGCCTTTAACCCTTTCATATCCAGAAAGAACCCTAGCACACCCACCCCTGCACCGGGATCCCAAATCTGGCTTGGAAACGCTGAAGTAGGAAAGGGGGAGAGACAGAAAGTGAGACTACAGGGGACCCCTAAACAGAATCTGCGGCGGGGGCGGGGCGGGGGGAGGGGTTCTGGGTGGAGGGTGGGCGGGCGGGGGGTGTAGGGGTGCGCCCAGTACCAGCCCCTGGGCGACAGTAAGTCCAGTGCGCACGCGCGCTGCCCGGGGCTCCTCGCGTCCCGCGTTGGCTTCTCCCCCGCGGCTCACTTCCCCCGCCGAAGCCCCGCCCCCCGCCCCAAGTGCCCCGCCTCCACCCCGGGTGAGGGCGGTGGAGCGCAGGGAGCGTGCGCAGGGCCCGCCCTGGGGGCGCGGGCGGAGGTGAGAAGGAGGGGTGAGCGCAGCGGCCAGTCCGCAGAAGCCGGGAGCCGCGCTGGAGGACGGAGCGTCAGCTGCGATCTCAGCGGAACCGGTACGTGACCCGCGGCCCAGGGGGAGGGCAGCGGGCAGGAGGATGATACTTGGCGCCGATGCGGCTCCAGAGCACTGGTGGTACCCGGTGGCCAGGGCCCCGCGCGACCCTCATCTTTGGAAACTTTGTGCCGGCGCCCCCACCTGCTCCCAGGGGTTCTCGCATCCTCTGGGTGGCGGGGAGAGGAGAAGCCCGGGACCCTCCGCTGCGCCCCCTCCTCAGCACGCAGTCCCCGCCTCCCTGGCTCTCCTCGCACACCCCCTGCTGCTCTCCTTATTCAACCCGGACCCGTTCCGTGCCGACCCTCGGGCTCTGGCGCGAGCATTCCCGTCTGCCTCCTCCGCCCCCCACCCCTCTGCTCTGCGGGCCCGCCACGGCCTCTACCTCCTCACCCTGCCAACGGCATTCGCCCGCTCTGAGCCACAGCAGCCAACGGCGGCCTTTTGCATCTACCAGAGGTTTCTGCATTGATAGAAGCAACTTGACTTTCAGCAATGCCAAGTATTCAACTTGAGTATTTTTCTCTGCAGTGATAGATTGGTGTGCACAGTGCTAACGTGTCTTATTTTTTCTAAGTATCCTTGCTTCAAAGCGAAGTTGAGTTGTTTGTATGTGAGAATTGCGTGCTGTAGCTGCCTTAAGTGGATTGTATAACAATAGTATTTTATTTAGGTGGATGTTGCCAATGGTACCAGTCAGTGTTATGGTAACTGAGCATCCCAGAGGCTAGGGAAATGACTTACAAATGCAATTCTCCTGAGTAGGGATTTATGAAAAACAAAACAAAACAAAACAAAAAACAACCTTGTACTTTTTATGCAGCAGGACCTCAAGGCATTTAGCAGGTATTAACTAGTTTCTGTTCATTGTAATTTTATGAGCTAGGTAGGTAGAGAGCTGTACCATCCCGCTTTACAGATGTAAAATCGGAGGAAAAGAGCCAAGACTGGATTCTGTACTAACCTTAAAGGAATATGGACCAAGAGATTTAACCCAGAGTTTCTGGAATTTCTAGGTCATAAGGCCACTGGAGTATAGTGTAACATTGGAACATCCTGCTTGAGGTTGTGCAGATCAGTCAAAAATCAGAGTCAGGGGCCAGCCTTCAGCTCCATGCTAGGGGACTGAGCTCTGTCACAAAGTGAAGTGACACTGGACAGGTCACAGCTGCTCTAGGTGTTTCCTCCTCTTTAAGGCGAGGGGAACAAAGGTGCTGTTTCCTTTGCAAAGTTGCGTGCTTCTGACCTGAGCTGTATTTGGTGATTGTTACTTGTTGTGGACTCATAAAAGCCCCCATTTTTGAGTTTGCTTTAAAAACTGCAGGACTGAGGCACCCCCAGAATGAATAGCTACCTCTCTTCACCAGAGACACCTGAGAACTCATGGCAGGGAGCACCTGAGACAGGGACCCTATCCTGGGTGAGGGAAGAGGGTGGCGGGGTGGGAAGGTAGGAAGAAGCCCTGCACAGGCGGCTTGACACATGGGCACTATTCCTGCCTCCAGCTCTGACTCATCTTCTGACGCTTGGGGGAGGAGAGATAGTTGCTTGATATTTTTGGCTTTCCCCCATAAAAGGGGAGATGGTTTCCTTCATTCCAAATCTTTTTAACGTCATTGTTGAACGTGTCTATTTTGCATTCTCATCTGAAATCTTTCATAGTGGTTGAATGCAGGTATGATTTCTATAATATCCTTTCATAGAATGGCATAAATGTATATATTTATATCATAAAAACTGGCCAGGTGAATACCTTCAGGAAATCCTTTAAAACTTTAGCATAAAAACTAGCATTTTTAAGTAATGGTCTTTAGGAAGGTATCTGGGTTTGGTGGATTCCTTTGTAATTGGAACTTTATTTTAAGGCAAAGTGGATTAAAATGCTTTTCCTAATTATCACAAGAAATACTTTTAATCATTCTTTCTGTAAAACATTAAAACTTTACAGAAGGTTAAAGCCTTTTGAGCATCTTTTCCCAAAGCACCTTCTGTGTGTATGTTTATCGGTTTGTATCATTTAAATTCTAAGCATTTTCATAAATGTCTTTGCACAAAGTGATTTTTTAATCAAAATTATTATAAAATTAACTGATCCTATTCATAGAGATTTGATTTCTGTCTAGAACAGGTAGCATGCACTTTAATTACAACTTGGTCGTAAAGTTTTGTTAATTTTGATCACTTTCTCTGGACAGTGGCAAACAACCTCTTCTTAACCAACTTCAAAGCAGTTAAATCATTTAGATCTGGGCATTCCTCTCAGTTGCAGATGAAACTTTACCTTGAGAAAAAAAGAAATCTAGGGCTACTGTGTATTCATCTTTCTTTGCTTATAAGGAGGTATAAAAGGGAATGGAAGGCAGGGAGAGTTGCTAAAGCAACAGTGCCTGGGTATAAACTTACAGAGTGAACATCGAAGGTGGCAGCTTTAGTTATTTATGAAAGCTTCACCGGGCTGAAGACAAAGAAGGGGAAGTGTTAATGTGGGCACAGTTTGGAGCAGTAATTTCAGATGGATGAGTTAAAACAAAATTCACATCAAGAGTTTGTGGGTTTAATTGTTAGATAGTTATTGAGGACTTTTGCCATGCCAGAGGTACTTGGGTGACTGCTGGGGTAGAAGGCAGAAAGGTCCCTGGCCTCATGAAGCTGACAGACTGATAGAAACATTCAGAGAGGGAGTGCTCTTTCCCAAGATTCGCTAGAATTGTAATGGTTCCGAATCCCTGGACATCAACATTGTAGTTACTTAACCTTTTTAAAAATTCTGAATTGTAGCACACAGAAAAGGGTATAAAACGTAAATGCATAACTTAATTATTTTACATAAAACACGATCTAACTGCCTTGCAGGTCAAGAAGTGCCCTCATCCCACTCTTTCCCAGTGACAGCCTCCCTCGCCACAGTGGTAACCCAGCCGGTGACTAGCCTCGTTTTGTGGAAAGCATTTCCTTTTTTTCCCCCTCTAGATTTAGACCCTAAATATAGATCTCTGAGCAGTGCAGTTTCATTTTGCCTTTTTTTTTTTTTTTACCTTTGTGCAAATGGGATCACAGTAGGAATTCTTTTTGTTATTATTGCTTAGTTTTTATTTCACAAATTTAACTCTGTGATCTACTTAGATTTGGAAGGGGTAAGGAAAATATGGAAGCCAATGAACTATAGTATTCTTTTAAATCCTTTTTAAAATCAGTACTGTGTGTGTGTAGCTACACAAAGACACAGTTTTTTGTGTAAATTTTTGTAGCATTTTTAAGATTCATCCATGTTTCCTGTGACTAGAATTAGTTTAATATATGTGTATATATGCATATATAGATATATATACATATACATACATTGTTTTGTTTTTAAATTCTTTTAGCATATATTTTTAAGATTTCATTCATGTTGTTACCTGTGACTATAATTACCGTATTTTGGATCATAAGGCGTGCCTAGGTTTTAGAGGAGGAAAATAGGAAAAAAATTTTTTGAACCAAAAAATGTAAAATATTTAATAACATAAATAACATAATATTTCACCAATGTAAATGTAAACAACTCAACAGCAGCATTAACAACCATTATTCCTCCTAAATGGGGGGTGGGTGGGGAGTGCGTCTTACAGTCCGAAAAAAAAATAGAGTAGTTCATTTTTGTATGGACATACTGCAAGTTATCTATTCATTATTGATGGACATCGGGGTTGTTTTCTGGTCTGGTGCTGGGTCCCAGGTGTGTGTCTATCCAACTTTACTTGTTGATGCCTATTTTCTGAAGTGGTTATACCAATTTACATTCCTCCAGTGGTGTCAGCCTTGAATTTATAATCCACTGTATTTGCTGTTTAACCACAATATGTCTGAATATTTCTTTTGTGTGTGTGTGTGTGTTTCTTTCTCTTTTTAATAGATTTATTTATTTTTAGGGAGAGGGGAAGGGAGAGAAACATAGATGTGAAAGAGAAACATCAGTTGGCTGACTCACACACATACCCAACTGGGGACCTGGCCTACAACTCATGCATGTGCCCTGACTGGAAATTGAACTGGCGATCTTAGGTTTTGCAGGCTAGCACTCAACCCACTGAGCTGTACCAGCCAGGGCTGTATTTATCTTTTAGAGATTGTATTTATTTTTTAGAGAGAGGGGAAGGGAGGGAGAAACAGAGGGAGAGAAACATGGATGTGTAAGAGAAACATTGATCGGTTGTCTTTTGCATGCTCCCAACTGGGGACTTGGCCTGAAACCCAGGCATGTGCCCCGACTTGTGGTCAACTAGTGACCTTTTGGTTTCCAGACTGGTGCTTAACCCACTGAGCCATACTAGCCAGGGTTTTTGTTTTTGTTTTTATTTTTTGCATTTACTAATTTGAGGGAGGGAAAAGGAGAGAGGGGAGAGAGAATAAATTGGTTATTCCACTTATTCACATATTTATTGCTTCTCTTGCATGTGCCCTGACCAGGGATTGAACCTGCAGCTTGGCATTTTAAGATGGCTCTTGTGGCTCAGCAGATTGAGCCCCAGTCGGTGAATCAAAGGGTTGCTGGTTCGATTCCCAATCAGGGCACATTCCTGGGTTGCTGGCCAGGTCCCCAGTAAGGGGTGCATAAGAGACAACCACACACTGATATTTCTCTCCCTCCCTTCCCTGCTCTAAAACTAATAAAATCTTGAAGGAAAAAAAAAAGATGACACCAGCCAACTGACCTACCTGGCCAGGGTCTAGCTATTTCTTGAAATGAATGAATACATATCACCTATGCGACTGATCCCTGGCCCTCATGTATCATTGCATTTACACATATGTATGTTTAATTGTGTGGTTTGGACTAACATACCACCCAAAGGACAGAGATGGTTTTTCCACTCTGTTTAGTTGACAAACACCCAATAGAACTCTTCCATTGATCTTTTTTTTAAAAAAACAGATATATAGAGAAATTTGAATATGCAAAATGAAGTATTAAAAATAAAAATTCCAGTACCTAGAAGTCTTTTAAAGATTTTGGGTGAA